TCCACCTCCGTCGTCACCTTACCTACGCACGCCAAGTAAATGTATCAGAATAGGCTAAAACTTCCTATAGTACATACACTAAACAGTCCATCTAAAACATACAAATGACATTTTTTATTCTGTATCACTTACATATTGTTATTACCCCCTGAAACATGTTTTCTAGAGCCGTGAAAAGTTGTCCGTAGCAATCGTACATCCCAAGATCGACTTTTCTGAGATAAGCCGCACCATCAACCGCCACTTTCACGTATTTCCTCCTCGCTGTCTTCACCGGCGGCCATCCCACCAATCCGCCACTAATTAAAAACCAGAACAAAAACGCATGTGTATATGTGATCAGTGAAACACATGCATATATCATAGAAGTGTTTGTAACAATGAAAATTGAATATGCCGTACTAAGTGTTGCATGAGATGTAATTGTTCACGTGTCCTTCCCCGAGTTTCAAATCAACGGTCTCGATGAATCCACGTTTGTTGCCGGACTTTTGTTGACCGTCCGATGCCTTTGTGGGAGTCCCGGGCAAAGCTAGGGTCAGCTCAGTTCCTCCAAGATCGCCGGATTCCCTAACGTATTCCTCCGGTGACATTATCTCTCAGTATCTTAATTAATGTGTATGTATATAAGTTATAAGTTTACAATAAAAGTGCGGAAAGTGATGATAGGCAAAATGGCACTAACTTTTGGCTTGAGTGTGCATGTGAGGGTTTCCAACTTTGTATTTATACGGATATTCCTACGCTAGAAGCCTAGTGAACGGTACCTATAATGACCACATGTCCTGTAACTGGTGGTTTTGATATCTCCACGAAAGCAAGCGAATAGTTCAATGGTGTGATTAATTACCTTGTGCTTCCTGTGGCGTGGGTCCTGCTCCTGCATGGCTCCATCTACCGTTTTCTAACCAAATATTTAAGGGGATTTAGAATCTAGACTAGTGTCATTAGTTTCCGATACTAGACAGCAATATTATTAGTCTGATCTGGTGCATAGCTCATTTTGTTCGAAGGCTCAACTCCACCTCATGGTCATGGGTTTCGACTAAGACAGAGAAAATGATGAAAACAATACTAAAGTTGAAAATATTCCTATTGTAAGAAAAACGTTACCCTTTAGCGAACTTTTGTATTTGCTTTTAGTTACGAAAGATCGATGGCTTATGAATGTTGAAAAATATAACTACGGAAACAAAAAGAATCTATATATATAAAACAAGATCTTAATTAGTTTGTGGTTGTCAATTTTAGTTCCATATATCCTCCGAGAGAGATCTTCAATAGTGTTCCTTTTGTCTATCACTTTCTTGTCACTTTACTTCTTTGAATTATTTTCCGAGAGAGATCTTTTATAAAATAAATCATACTGATGCTGAAATACATCAAAAACAAGAAAAAATCCAAAATAACATTGTATAATGGATGTGACCAAAGTCGTTAACTGCCATTTAATATCGAGTTAAACTATGGCTAATGATTAGAAAACAAACATTTGATAATTGACTTTAACTAGTTCACCTTTCTAAAACAGTTATTAACCCAAAAACACGAATCATAAGAAAGGAAACAAAAACGTTTCGACATAGTAAACAGTATTCAGTATTCAGTGCAGTAGGGCCGCGCATAAGTCACGTGATTCTGTTTCTTTACTGGGAAACATAAACGATTCGTGTCATTAATCTCAGAGTTAGACCAATTAGGCGTTATTAAGACATCCAAATAGAAACAGTAGCCCTACTGAGTAGACACGTGACGAACTTACCGGTTTCGATTGCGAATCCGTGACCGCTAACTCCGGCCAGCCATTCTTTTAAAGTTGTTGTTTTCAGTCGTTATAACGCGCATGGAATGTAAACAGTCTACAATGACAAGATCTCTGTAATTTCATCATTATTTTGTTTTTGTTTTAACAGTGACTTTTTAGTTTTGTCATTATTCAAAACATAAATAACTCGTGGTCATCGTTTACGGACTAGTTGTTATCGTAAACTTCCTTAATAACTCCAGCTCCTATAACATTTTAGATGTAATTGAGCGTTAAATGATTTCGATCAATTTGAAAATTTTCTACTAACTATTTAACAACTAGAATTACGAGACTAGTTAAAACCCATGTGGACAAAAAAATATGTTTTTAGCCCATTAAGCCCAAACTAAACAATATTTTGGTTCTGGGAGCATTTAATTTTTGGCTATACCTCTGATATTAACTCTACAACGCACCTTCCAAATTTCCAAGAGCCACAGACAAGGAGTTAGACATGACCGTCCGATCAGACAGAACCCTTAAGATCCAACGGCTGATAACAAAATCTTCCTAGTGAGTTTAAGTAAAAGTGTAAAAACTAATCATCACTCTCTTTCCCGAATTACTGCAAAAGCTGAAAAAATCAGCGGATTCTCTTTTTTGTCTTTCTCAAGAAATGAAAAAGAGGAACAGTTCAAGTAAGATAACAACAGCTTACTCGCAGCTTTTCTGGATTCGACTCTGCCAAGATTTTTCATTTCTGGTAAATAAAGGCTTCACCATTGCATCTACTCTTGTTCGTATATTTGGTTTCCTTGGATCCTGTGTCGCAATTCATTTGGGGAATCCCGAATTTGTGTTTGGAGACCTCTTATCTTCTGTTTCTCTCGATTGAATTTGTTTGAGTCTTCGTTTTTGGGGGTTTTTCATCAAGATAGAGTTTGATGGATTTGAAAGAGTCAAAATTGAATGTTGGGTCTTACTTGAACTGGGATTTTTTTTGTTTTCTCTCAGAAAGTTGGGCAATTCGATGTTTCCTACTCCTGACTGTGGATTTTGATCTGAGCTTTCTAGTCTCTAATCCCATCTCCCTTCTGAATTTTTCATTATAAAGCTAATTGCTTTCCTCATTGTGCTTTAACAGGTGTATGTTTAACATTTGTTCTTGGAGAGATTGAGCTCAAGTGTTTCTAGCTTTGATATACCCAAATGATTAGACGGATGCTGAGAACTGGGAAGGTCTAGTTGCTGATCTGTGCTTTTCAGATTTTCTACTTGGATATTAGATGGACGTTTCTTCCATTGGACGAACTATAAGCCAAACTGATCAAGACCCTTTGTTAATGGAGCAAGAATCTCACAATAATCCTCAACACATCGTTGACATCACAACAAGCAATGACGATGACTCGTCTTCATCAAGATCTTCTATCGATGAGCTGACTCCTGAGGTTAACTCACATCAAGGCGAAGAGAGAATAACATCAAACGGCAACATTACGCATCCATCTCCTTCAACTCCTCAGCAAAGAGCAAATTCTACAGGGAATGGTCGCCGTAGTAGTGCTAGTACTAGAAGGAGTCCATTGAATTCTGGACTTTGGATTTCAGTTGAGTTAGTTGTCACTGTGGCTCAGATTGTGGCAGCCATAGTAGTCATGGTTCTGGCTAAAGATGAACATCCAGAAGCGCCACTGTTTACTTGGGTTGTTGGATACACCTCTGGCTGTATAGCCACTCTCCCTATTCTCTACTGGCGTTTTCGCACTTACAACCAAAGTTCGGTGCAAGAACGTGGCAGCTCTTCTCAGTCCAATAATAATAACCCTTCAGAATCCACACCTTACACAGCCGTCTCAGTGGTTCAAGCGCCAGACGAAGAAAATGGCACCGACCTGAGAGCAGCACCTAGAACCAATCAAGTTGGGGATAGCTTAAGAACAAGGTAATGGATACAAGTTAACTTGGTTTGGTTAGGTAAGATAGTGAAATTGATAGTTTGGTTATGACTTTGCAGGCTCAGTGGGATGGTGGACCACTTCAAGATGGCGATTGATTGTTTCTTTGCTGTGTGGTTTGTTGTGGGGAATGTCTGGATATTTGGAGGTCACTCATCTCCTTCTGATTCTCCTAAACTGTACAGGTGCGTGACCTCCACTTTCATCCACTCTTATGGAGAAACTGAAACTCTTTAACACTCATCATGTTTTGTTTGTTTGGTTGGTTGGGACTTTGCAGGTTATGTATAGCGTTCCTTACCTTCAGCTGCATTGGATACGCAATGCCATTCATACTATGCGCAACCATCTGTTGCTGTTTGCCTTGCTTAATCTCTGTTCTCGGGTTTCGGGAGAATTTCTCACAAACTAGAGGAGCCACTCCGGAGGCCATCAACGCTCTGCCTGTCTACAAATTCAAATCCAAAAGTAGAAACGATTTGGAATTTTCAGAGGAAGATGAAGGTGGATTTCTTCTGTTGGGAACAGAGAAGAAACGTCTTATATCAGGCGAAGATGCCGTAAGTAGAAATGTTACTCAGTCATTTGAATTAGTAAAGGTTGTTTCAGTTGTGTGTGTGTGTGTGTCTATTTGGCCTATCCTCTGAATTGTGTGCATTTGTCGGATGTTATTGGTTTTGCAGAGCTGTTGCATCTGCTTGGCCAAATATGGAGACGACGAAGAAGTTAGAGAGCTGCCATGCTTACATGTGTTTCATGTAAACTGTGTAGACAAATGGCTGAAAATCAATGCGACTTGCCCTCTCTGTAAAAATGAGGTCGGAGAAAGCAGTAGTAGCGCTTCTTCCTCATAGACAAAAAAGCTGAGACTTTCAAATCACATGAGAACACAGAGTAAGAGACACAAGTGTTCACAGCTTTTTGGATCCATAGAGTTTGTGTTTGTGTATATAGGCTTGGAATATAGTTGAGAAGTTATTTTATTATTCATTTTGTTTGTTCAAGAATTGCAACTTTCCAGATCAATAATGGTGATACCGATATGCGTAATAGCAGCATTTGAGAGAACGTTGAAAGCACAACAAAATTTAACGAAAAAGATGTAACACCACCACTTAAAAGAAAGCGTCACTGAATCAAAAATTTCCAGAAATGGTCAACAAGTTGAAACAGGTGGAGCTCAGCTCAATCCACTAACCAGTTCAACTGGAAGAATTGTGCAAAACCAGATATAAAGGATGAAAATTCTAAACATAATATAGTAGATACCACTGTCAGAGTAATCTAAACCGAAATCAAGATGAAGTAGAACAAAGAAGCCTAGACGATGTTGAAATCCTAGGCATAGATTCTAACTCCTTTTGGCACTCTTCAAGATTGCAGGTTGCTACGAGTAAGACCTCCACAGTCTTTAAATGGTATGAGTTAGCGAGAATGTATGTCAGTAGTTGTTTCTCATCTTCTTTTCCTTCATAGTCTTTCCACTTAACAACCTCTAGATGAGACGATAAGCATCCAGGAACAGTACTCGGCTCGTTCCAGGGAGATTGGGGACATCCCTATACCATAACGTTAACATTTTACTTTCATATTCAAATTCATCAAAACTAGATGTGCATCATATTCTAAGGGATGTTGAGGGCACTTACCGCAGTGTCGACCGTAAGAATTTTCAGCTTAGGAGAGTTGTGAAGCAACAAAATAAATGGTTCCAACCAATCCACATCAATTTGTGCTATAAATTCCAAATCTATGAGCCCAGAGAACTTAACGGCTTTACAACAAGCAACCTGCAATTAAAAAAAAAAAGATTAGTTTGCCAAGCAAGGAACAAGGAACAAGGAACGCAACAAATCTTAATAACAACCACTACCGTTGATTTGGATAAAGAGAAGACCAAACGCCTGGCAGAAGAAAAACATGTCAGCAGCTTTTCATCTGGGTTATGAACATACCGGATGTATGCCTCCTCAAGACAAAGCATTTTCTCTGTCACACTACAGTAGTCTCCCCATTGTTCAAGTATGACTACACGTGTTAATGCAGGGCAATCTATCACCAACGACCCAATCTGATATTCCTCTTGCTCTTGCTCTTGCTCATGTTCTTGCCGCTCTCGCAAACTAGTATAGTAACGTAAGCTTTTCAGCCAAGGCACTTTCACGGTAAAGTCTGTCAAGTTGTCTTCCCTAGCTTGCTTCCGAATTTTATGTCGCTCAACCGACAGATGATAGAGAAGAGGGCAACTTGATAAAAGCCTAGCAAGAGAGTCTTGGTCTTTGTAAACCACCTTGAAGAGAAACATATGTGTGAGAGATGGGAGGCTAGCCGTGAAAGAAACATCCACGAGAACCTGGTTTGATAGACATAAACGGACTAGCGTGTCGCATGTGTAAACGCTCTTTGGGAAGCTTGTGGGCTCTCCTCTCCAGTGGAGCTTGAATTCTAGATTCATCACACCCTGGTTAACTGCCTTGTCAGCCCACTTTCTGACATCTACGTCAACAGGACATCGTGGACCCACTTCGACAACCAGGCTTCGTAGTTTCGGTGCCTTGTGGAGTTGCAGTGCCTTGTCAATAAACCGACCAAAGCTCTCGCTGTCTTGGTTTTCTATGAAGTCGAGTTTATGCATCATCTTCCAGACGTGACGCCATCGTTTAGACAAGACCTCAGTGGCCACTGCATCTTTTGCCGGGACGAGGTGTAAGATCCGCAGTAGCAAATCGTTGGGCAAATCACATATTCTCTGACAACCTTGGATTTCTGGATCAATCCTTGACAAACCCATAGTGCCAATGCTATAAAACGGAAACCCTAATCTACGAGACTGTTCCGGGGAGAAGCTAAGATGATAAAATCCCTGACTAGAAACTAACCTCAAGCTCGAAGAAAAGGTAAATCAGAGAATAGAAGATGATCACGGAGGAACAAGGATCAACCGGAGGTAAAATTAAGAGATCTGTGCGATTCTAAGCTTGAATCGACCTTGATCCAGTGAGAAACTTGTAACTAAGAAAGAGAGATTGCAATTGCGTAAAAGAAAGAACACGACGCGATTGGTCACCCAGGAGTTCGTTTCCTACTCTCCTGGGGCCGACGAGGCTTGCCGGCAATTCCACTATCTCCGGCTCAAATCCGAGCTCAAGAATACAGGAATCTTCCTTCTCTCTCTTAGCTCAATTTTGCGGATTAGAGAGGAAGAGAAGAAGTCACGCGACTTAAGTGATACACGTGCCAGATGAAGTCTCTTTCTCAGTTAGTGTCTTTGACACACTCGGGGATTTCTTGGATTAGGAACACAACCTTGAAGATCGAACAAGAAGATAATTAATTGATTGATTTTCAGGGGATGGCTAAAAGACAGACTTGCATATCCCTTCATATATTATTACAAACACAAGTTCCTTGAGCAATAAAAAACTGATTTGTGGCAAAGCTTAATTAAGCGTTAATCCTTTTACATTTTATTAGTTTTATGCTCTGTTCTGGATTTTGCTCTGATTTGTGACACAAGTGTTCCCAGCTTTTTGGATCCATATAGAGTTTGTGTTTGTGTATATAGGTTTGGGATATAGTTGAGATGTTATTTTATTATTCATTTTGTTTGTTCAAGAATTGTAACTTTCCATATCAATAAATTTCCAACTAATGGTGTTACGTTGAAAGCACAACAAATTTGACGACAAAAGATGTAACAACAATCAAAAGAAAGCGTCATTAAATCAAAATTTTCCAGAAATGGTCAAGAAGCTTAAAAAGAGTGTTGTAATGGGAAAAATAAATAGTGTGAAGAAACAGAAAGAAGAAAAGGAAAAGAGTTAAAAGGGTACAACATGAGAAAACGTCGAAACATGTCTAGAGGGAAACAAAAGGAAAATAGAGAGACAAAGGACCCTTTCTATCTCTGTGGCATTGTTGTTGTTCATCAAACTTGAAACCCAGAGCCTTATATAGAAAACAAATTATACACATTTGGCATGTTACAACTCCAAACATTTTTTTTGATCCACACCTTCTGCGAAAGATTAATTATATCTCGAGTTTGATCCCACGTCTCTGCAAGAACGGATCGTCTCGTCTTTTGTAAACTATCTGTCTCTTCTGTGTTGATTTGGTTCTTATTGCTAAATAACAGCTTCTTCATGCTGAGACGGAGAGGCTCTTGAATGCTTCGACTTGTCCATCGCTCAATTCCGTCTGACCCATTGGATGGTTTGGTGCGTCTCCATTCTCATTGCTCTTGCGAGTTGAGTTGTATACTGAATCGGGCATCACAGAGCTGAGCTTGCCTTCTAAATGAGTTGAACAGGGAAAATACTCGGCGCACCGTGATTTCCATCCTGCAATTGTACCCAAGAAACCAGGCTTAATACTTCTAAACAAAAGGACCTTTACGATTAATGGAAACAAGATAATTAATGCTTACTGGAGGCAGCTTCTGAGTCAGCGAGAACTGTGTCTAGGAGCTTATGAACTGCTATACAGTCTTTGAGTTTCCATTCTGTTGCTGGTCCTACAGCTCCATTTCTGCACATGGACAACCGATTTAAACAGAGAACGGAGATAGCGAGCGAGGAACAATGACGTAATATGTATGAAGGAGGAAGCATTACGTTTGAGCCGCTTTATTGGTTGAGTCTTCAATTATCTTGACAGCCTCGGTTTTCTTGCTTGGATCCAAAACATACAACATTTCTGCGTATGCAGCTCTGTGCACCAAAGAATCTGCGGAATTTGAAATGCTAACGTTATCAGACACTGTAATATCTCCGAGAGGGTACATGTAATCAGTTTGATACGTACCTTCGTGTCTACCAAGAAACTCTTTGTTAGCCTCCATTAGTGATTTATTCTGCAATTGACTGGAACGCAAACGAATGGACAATTTATCTCCTAGCTGATATAAAAAAAGTAACAGTAAGAATGGATAACAGTTTTGAGTATTCACCTGATTGATGGGCGCTCTGCCTCTAGGACGCTCCAACGAAGTTTCTCTGCTTCAGTCGTTGGAGAACTCATCGATTCTGTCTGGAGAAAGAATTTGACCTGCCACCCAAATTCAAAAGCACATGAAGGTAAAACATTATTATCTTTTTTACATGATTAAGCCTTCCTTAGAACATCACATGTGGCACACATTTCATACCAGGGACCGATGTGAATCAGGGTTCTCCGCATCCAACTTAAGCAATTGCTTGACAGCCTAAAGAATCAAATATGAGACAGCAAATCCCTTCAATTACTTGGACAAAGTATATAACAGAAACATGATAGATCAAATCTAAGCTTGAATAGGATATAAATTATTTACCTGGAATGCAAGCAGAAACTTTTGTTTTCTCATATTGACCTCGAAAGAGAGCAAATGAGTCTCCAATGAATTAGGTGAATGCTTCTGGAGTAGTCTCAAGTACTTTGAAGCCTCAGTCATTGGCTCTTCCACCTGTACAGATTTCGTTTTTCAGTAAGCCCTCTGATAAAGTTAAAACTCATACTTCAGTATTATGGCACAGACCACAATACATCTTACAAATGAAGCAAAAACAAAACCTGAATCAACTTTTGTCCATGGGGATCTGGATCTACAGGTTTCACATTTCGTTTGCCAGACTTAGAAACACCGCTGGCAGTTGATTCTTCACTCTTACTCTCTGCTTCCTGGAACAAAGAAGACCATGTTAAGTCACCTAAGTGTCAATTCACTTGAAAAAAACATATTGACAAAACAATGAAAAAACATACTTTCTTAGCTCGGGCTTCTGCCTTTTTCTGCTTCTTGATTTTCTTCTTCTGAGCAGGAGCCAACTTTGACATTTCATCTTCTTCAGCAGTTGACTTGGGAGAATCATGCAATTTCAGGTAGCACCTGAACATCAGACCGAGAGGCAAATTTTAGTGGAATCTATCATGTATTCATACAGTAGTTGGGTTACAATTTGCAGCAAACAGTTCACCTGATAGCTCTTATTGCTGCTTTGTGGAAATATGGGAATGAGTGCAATCGGTCTTGGAACTTAAGCATGTCAACATATGAGCGCAAAGTCATCTTTCTTAAGCAATACGAGTGGAAATCAAACTGATCTTCAGAAATGTCAGAATAGTGCTTCTCCACAGCCAAAAACTTCTTCAGAGCACGTCCAAGATCACCCTGACGGAAGTAGCTATCTCCAGATGCAAGATCATACCTTTAACAAAATGAGATCAAAAGAAAATCATTAGAAAGATATTTGAAATGTCAATTTCACATAAGCAAAACTACTCAGGCTTTTATAGAGCCATACCACATGCACTGCATGTCATGAAGATTGTTGAGCTGATCCCCCTCTTTCGTAAATAAAACAGCAGTTTTCTCAGCCAAGGTCACCTTCACCCAAACAAAATCACAGAAAGGAGAACTAGTGTTGAGGCCTGACATCAGATGGACATCGAACAAAATAATATAATATGAACAAAACGGAGATGTGTACCTGATCTGCTTGCAACATACGCTTAACGCATTCACTGTTTATATAGCGATCTGCTAAGTCCATGCATCTAGCTTCATCGGCAAGAGCAGCAGCGGCTGTCAAGTCTCCTGCATGCTTCATTATTCGGCTCTGGAGAGAGAAACCAGCACAATGGTTAAGAAGAAACAATAATCCTCATCACAAAAGAAAAAGATAACCTGATAGACGGTGTGCACAAAATTATACAAATTCTGTTAACACAATCGCTATAACTAAAGAAGTTCAAACCCAGCCATCCTGTCACTATGGTTTTCAAAATGTGTCTACATACATGGTGCAGGCAGCAATAGTGACATATACCTTAACGGAGTACAGATCAATCACTGTCGGCGTATGAGCAATGGCCTCGTCAATTTTACCAAGGGCAACATCATACTGACCACGCTTGTCATAATGCTGCATTACGGAAAACAAGGTATCATAATAAGATAAACAAAACTTCAACCGAAAAGCTGTTAATTATAGAGAGAAATTAAGAAATATAGCAAAAGTGAACCTGAGCCAAGAAAAACAGTGTCCACAGTAGTGTCGACGGGGGCTCTTTCACATCACTGCATCAATTAAGAATTAATCAAAACAAATGATTGACCAAATCACCAACGTTACTAAACTATTAAGACTATATCATACACGGCGTTAATCCAGTAAATACTTCAGTAATAAATTCAGTTATTTACCTTCCCGGGTAACTTCCAGTAGTTCTAATTGAATGTTCCATCTCAACAACTAGTTGCTCCAATATATCAGGCTGGATACCAAAATACATATAAGAACATAAATAAGTGAAGCCGAATCAATGAAATTAGAAACACCATAGTCAAGGACAGGCCAGGAAACTACCTTGCCAGGGTGATCATACAGAGAAGAGAGATCAGAAAATAATGAAGGAACACCCTGAGACAAGCATCACGATATTTAAGCAACATATTATATTAGAGTATTGTGTAAATGAACAGACTCAAGAGCAAGAAAAGATACCTTTGTCAAGAGAGGTTTAATGTACTTTGCTAAAGCCTCCTTAAAGCTTTCATCTCGCAGAAAATCCAACGGTATCCTCTGAAAATGGAGAATAAACAAATTAAACCCCAGTCATCGAATTACAAGTATCAGCAGCCATAATGAATAACCGAAAACAAAATGGATAACTAGTAATTCCCTATAAAAGTAGAAGGATATTAGCAAATGTATGTAACTACAGGCATCGATATGCCTTTTCTCACCTTAACAGCGGATGACCTCGTGTACTGCTCGCTTAGAGACTGGTACAAGGCATTTAACTTCT